CTGGTGAGTGAGTCCTCCCTGTCCTCATCCCAACCCACCACCCCTTTGTTGTGTTTCTCTCCCCATCTCACCAGCTTGGGGCTGGGGGGGAATGAGTGAGGGACCGTGTGGTCCGAGCTCTGGGTGAAACCACCACAAACACATTGGTTGGGTGGCACCAGCCCAAACCCAGCGTTGGGGGAAATGGAAGATCTCCTCACCTCTCCCTCTGCAAACATCCCACCAAGGTGAATCCTCACTCAGGACGTAACCTGCGAAGGGACAGTGACACCCTGGAGAGGTGGATGGGAGGCCACCAAAAGGTGTGGAGATGCCAAGAGGTTCTGGACACCCTCAACCCTGTGGTGTCAGCACCAGCACCAGCTTTACCCGCTGATCAACGTGCCCAGAGCAGACTTTGAGTTTGTTGGTTTATCTGGGGGATGTCCCCAAGTGTCACCACAATCAAACCCTTTCCCAGAAGGAACCCAACACCATCAATGACTCATAGGTGCTTCCAGGTGGAGAGATTCCTGAATATTTGCATAATATTTGCATAACTCGCGTTATCTGCTGGTATCCGTCCAGCTGGTGGATTATTGTGTTTGTTCAGTGATTTAATCCCACACATGGGATCAACGTTCAAGTGGAATTCCAGGTCTCCTGTCCTGCAAGGACATGGTCCTTCTTCCCCCTCCATCACACCTGAGCTTCTCCCAGGAATTCACTGCACCCAAATATCCCAACGATGGGATTTGAAAGCAATTTTGGGGGGATTCCTTTAGATCCTGGTGGTATCTGGGAGGAAGATTTGATCCCAGTAATGTCACTTATGGTGATAAATAATTTGATTTCAACCCAAAGAATCCAGAAGGTGCAAAGCACCAGGAGAAGAACTGTCTGGAGATCCTGGGAGAAGATCAGGGGTGTTTCTTGAAGGGACACACATGGGTGTGATGATGAACTGGGAGAGGAATATTTCCAAGCAAAGAAATGAGCAAACTGAGCAAAGAAACCTCAAAATCAGTGGAAGTGGGAAAAAAAAGAGGGATGGGGAGATGTGGTGGGAAGCTGAGGAGAGGTCAAAGGATGGACCTCTCACCTGGAGGTAGCAAAATCCACCATGAAAACCGATTTATACCAGCAGCAAACTCAAACCTCGTGCTTGTGTTGGGCTAATTCTGCACAAATTTAGCCAAAAAAAAGGGCTCAGCTGATGGCCCAGCGGCTGCGTTACCTGGATGAAGAAGATCTTGGGTATTTGGGTCAACATTGGACATTTCTCTGAAGATAAAATCTGGAAAATTGCAGTCAGTGGAAGCGGTTCCGTGTCACAACCGAATACGACCCCGTCGTCTCCGTGGCTGGAGATGATGCTCACAAAATATTCCCCGTGCTCATGGCAACGCTCTGCAACGACATCACCCAACCGAAGCCTTCGAGCATCAACTCAATGACTCAACTCAACTCAACGACTCAACTCAACAACTCAACACGGGGGGTTCCTGGACTCTGAGAGGTGGGAAATGTAACTCAACAACTCAACTCAACAACTCAACTCAACACAGGGGGTTCCTGGACTCTGAGAGGTGGGAAATGGAGATGGGTGGGCTTGGGGGAGGAAGAGGAGGAGGGTTGGGGGCTGGCAGGGGGTTACCTTGTCGGTAAAGGTCTTCCATCTCCTTGGCTGTCTTGTTGTGCATCAGCTTCACCTTGTAGTTGAGTTGTGAGAGTATCTTGGAGAGCTTCTCGGCTTCTCTCTGGGCTCCTCTGCGGGTTCCAAGCACCACATCACCATCACTGCTGCAGAAATTGGTGTTGACGATGATGAGAGCCCGGCTTTGCCTCAACTGGGCCATACTGGGATGTCTCCTCAGATGGGTAAGGTGGTCTCCAAACCCCCACCGTGCTGGTGGGGAGCTCAGACTTGTCTAACAATGAGCTCTGAGTGCTCCTTCGGGAAGCTGAGGAGAGCGTATCCTGCTCTGACTCAGCACCTGATTGTCAAGGGCAAGGCAGGAGCAATGTCCTGTCACCTGCCAAGGCAGTGAGATGGCACCTGGCTGTGAGTCACGGGGGTAGGAGAAGGTCACAGCTCACCCTTGGGTTCAGTGGGCATCACCAGCTGCCTGAGGGCTGAGTTGGCACCATTCAACCTGGAGCTTATGGGGGGGATTTGGGGAGAAAAATAGAGGAAAAAAAAAGAAGAGGATTTTTATCTCCAGGGAGGGTTGGAGAAGGCTGAGGGTGGAACATCTGTGTGGAGAGGAACACCAGCCAGGTGACCCCTCGCTGCCTTCCACACCTTGAGTCTTGGTTTCTCCAAAAATCCAGGTAATTCCTGCTTCCCATCACTGACCACGGGGAAAACCATCCCCTTCCAGCTCCTCCACCAGCTCCCAGCCAGGTTTTTGGCCAATGTCACAAAATCCCAGAGTGGTGGGGTTGGAAGGGAGCTCAGGAGATCATCCAGTCCAACCCCCCTGCCAAAGCAGGTTCCCTACACCAGGTCACACAGGAAAGTGTCCAGGTGGGTTTGAACATCTCCAGAGATGGAGACTCCACACCCTCTCTGGGCAGCCTATAAAAGTGTCACTTATCTCCTGACCCTGCCCGTTCCCGAGGTGGCAGTGGGCACCTGCCAGCTGCTTGTCCCCATTTCTGGCACTTCTGCAATGATTTCTCTTGCCACCAAGATGATG